CGGAGATGTGTTTAAGAGAGAGGTGTGTGTGTGTGTGTGTGTGTGTGTGTGTATGTATGAAAGAGGCAAACTCACCTCTAGGTCCCTCCATGACGCCCTTGGAGTAGGCTTCGTATCGTCGCGATATCTCGCGGATGGCTTCGTAGCCGGCGGTCATGAGGACGACGGCGAGGAGCGAGAAGACGAGCGAGGTCGTGCCGGAGATGTGCCAGGAGGGGAAGACGATGCAGAGATCGGTCGTGTCCCAGGTGAACAGCATCTGTTCGAGCGACATGTCAGCGTGTCGTCCGATACTAGGAGGTGCATCACCATACGTTCATGTTGCACTTGGGTCCATCGCCGCCCATGCCGGGCATGTCGTGGCCCATGTGGCCGTGGTCCATGTGCGAGTGATCCATGCCCATGTTGTGTTTTGCTTTCGAGGTCGGTTGGAGGAGTTGTTGTTGGGTGCTGCGGAGGAGATGGGGAAGCTATGCTCGTGTCTCGAGATAGGCGGGTCGAGAAGCTGCATGTGATGGCACGCGTCGCACCAGTGATCGACGCCTGCACGCACGAGCCGCGGTTCCGCGGGGCGAGAAGCTCCCCACTCGTGGACCCTGGATGATTGATTACATCGTCGACTTTACATTTCAAAGCAGACCAAACAAACTCGTCGCGCTGACTTGAGGAACAAGATTCTCTTTTGACATACACATTGTTCCAGGATGAACACGACGCGATCATTACGGCCAGCCATCCGGCTCGCGCAACGCGCTTCGCGACCGGTACCGCGACCTTCCGCAACACTCCCACAGCGCCACTTCTCACAATCGCAACCACACCGACAACTTGGCCCACCATTGAACATACCAAAATGGTACATACACCAACTATCCCGTCTCCTCCCATCCCATTCTACCCCAAACAGACACAGCGCAAAGCTAACCCAACTCCCATCCAGGGTCTCCGAAAACGCGCACATGCTCAAACCGCCGATAAACAACTACTGCGTCTACAACGACGCCGTAACCGTAATGATAGTCGGCGGCCCCAACGAACGAACCGACTACCACATCAACGAAACCGCCGAATGGTTCTACCAACACAAAGGCGGCATGCTACTCAAAGTCGTCGACACGACCCTCCCACCAGGCCAGCAATTCAAAGACATCCACATCAACGAAGGCGACATGTTCTTACTGCCCCCAAACACGCCGCATAACCCCGTGCGCTTCAAGGATACCGTGGGCGTGGTGCTGGAGCAGAAGAGGCCGGAGGGCAGTTTGGACCGCTTGAGGTGGTATTGTCAGAACTGCGGGGATAAGGTGTATGAGGCGGCGTTTTATTGTACGGATCTGGGCACGCAGATCAAGGATGCGGTGAATGCTTTCAAGGCGGATACGGAGAAGAGGACGTGTAAGAGTTGTGGGACGGTTTGTGATACTGCGCCGCAGCCCAAGAAGGCTTGATTGGGATGAAAATGGGGTGTATGATATGTATTCTATGTACGGTGGCTGCAATGGAGAAGGGAACAAGGTTCAAAGTCCTTTCCACATGATCTTGGAAATGTGGTCTGTCTTCTTTCGACTGGGTTTGACGAGGCCGAGGTATCGCAGTTCGGCCAATGCTCGCTGGAATAGTGCCCTGTGACGGATTAGTATACCATGACTGTGATATGCAGGTGCAGACTTACATGGTGTTGGGCTCGTTCTCTTCTGTTCCGTCTCCTGCAATGGCGTTGAACGCCGACCACAAATCGGTGACGTTGATCAACGTTCCAGACTCGAGGTACATCTGATACACAATAGCTGTCGCAGGCTGTGTAGCAGAAAGAGCTGCCGGGTTTCCATCGACTCCACTACAGCATTCGCAGCCCAGATAGTCGTGAGGTGAAGCTAGTGCACGCTCAACAGCAAAGCGCGGCTTAGGTTGGAAGACCTCTGTGTGTGGTGACTTTAGGTCGTATATGAAGAGCTCATTCAGAGTCAACGTCTTCGGGTCGATGAACGAGGAGGTGAAATACGCATCGAGCTTGTCGTGAAATTCCGTGACCAAGTCTGAGTATGCCTTGTCTTGCTCTGACAGTGCAGCTTTGTGCTTGCTCAGAAGTACTTTTTGTGCCACGACGGTGGTTCGTACACTGTCGTTGCGGACATCGTGCTGCGTGCGGAGCGGTGCATCGGCGTTTTGTAGCAGGCTGTCGAGCGTCTGCTGAGCTGAAGCAATGCCCAACGAGAGGTTGTCGTCTTCAAGATCTCGTAGCGATGCTAGCAAATGTACCAGTCTGTCGGATGGAATTTTCTTGATGGATAACATCGTTTCGCGGATGAGGGGCGATCCAGCTAGCTCGCCAGCTGCTGCTCGGGTCCAAATAGATGAAAGCCGGACGCTGGGTGACATCTGAAGCGACTCGCGGATGTTCGCTAGTACTTCCGCAGCGTGGCTCAATGATATCATGGCGCGTTGGCCAGATTGTAGATGATGTGCAATCTGGTCGAACAGGTACTTGTTGTCTTCCAGTACTCTTCGTACGTCTTGTGCCTGACCAGCTTCTAGCATGCGCTCAACCCACTGGCGAAACGATGGCAGAGTGCGAACAGCTTCGAACGCGTCTGCTGATAGGTCTCCGGGTGTAACATCATGCGTGAGGAAGACGCTGGGCACGCTAGCATAAAAATGCGACATGTAAGCGTACTTCAGCCCATCACAGAAATCCTGTGTGTTTTGAACGTGATCTTTCTGTCGATCCAACATACGGCGACAGAGGTTGGGTCCAATGTGAAGTCGAGAATCTGTGCTGGCAACCGTCGCACGAAACAGCTTCTCGATGATCTCATCAGATTGGGTAACGTCAAACTTCTGGCCTTCAAGGTAGCGGAGTGAATTGCCTGCCAGACGCTCCTCGAAGCTCTCTGCAGAAGTAGCAATGCCAAAAAGTAGAACGAAAGGTAGACGATCGAGCCATGAGCTGTATAAATTAGCATGGGCCATCGCTAGATATTATCAGACGTACTGAAGAAGATCAACTACATCGACGAGTAGCCCAACGTCGAAAGCCTCACTATCCTGCAAAGCGACAACGATGCTAGAAGCGCGATTCTTCTTTTGCCATTCTTGAACATGACCAAGATCGTAATTGAGTAACTTTGGACCATGCCTAGAAGACGTAGCTGGACGGTCTACATCATCCTCATCCTCATCGTCCACGCGCGAAGTAACCTTCTTGATGAGCGTTTTCAGCAGCGTCTTCAGATTTGGACATTCGCTGGACGTCAGCACCACATATGCGCAATTTTCAGCTCTGATGCCCCTACCCAGACGCTCGAAGAAAGGGCCATGAGATGCAATGCTAGGACCGGCAACGATGAGCGCTGTTGGTATGGCAAACTTGGGCTCATCTGGCGATGCGCTGGAAGCGGAGATGAAGTTGACGATCTTTTCCTGGGTGGCGCTATCTGCCCCTTCCAAAGTACTCTGCTCATATTAGCAGCCATTTAACGCGTGTCACTATTCGGATCACTCACTTGAATGCGCTCGTCTTGCTGTGCCCACAACTCCCGATACCTGGCTAGCCGTTCTGGTAGTTGCGCCTGCGGGTCGAATTTGCCGGTTCTTTGTCGCTTTGGCGCCCGCTCTTCTGTCGAAGGTGGCTCATATATGTAGCTTTTCTGATGCTCCATGTTCAATTGTTGCAGGCGGGATGGCTTGTCTACTTGTCTGATGTTGTTGATGGGCAAGGGCTAGGGGCAGGCGCGACGAATCGCGAAGCGCGTGAGCACGGGACTTGGTGATTTGGTCAAAGCTCACGAGGCTGTTTCAGGGACAACGCCGAATACCAGCATGTGTAATGGACGATGTTGTGTTAAGAGTGATAGAGTTATGACATCCGAGAATTCTGTTCAATTACAGTTTATCTGCACTGGTTTGCCTACGGAGGTATTGTACCATCTTCACCTCGCGCGTTCCTCTTGTCCATCTTGTTGATAATCGATAGCTATTGGGAGTGTAGAAAGTATTTTGAAGCTACCTCACCTTCGAATGGTCGTCGTCGATAGACATCTTGGAGCTATAAAGAACTAGACTCCTTGATTCACTAGATTCTCACCAGCGATTATGACTTCTCGAGACCGTTGCCATGTTGTGACCGCGACCCAGAGCTGCAAAGCCAGACAATGTTGCACGAGCCGAACGTTACGCCGGTCTCATGTGTCCAGCCGTGATCTCACCTATTGTAGGCTAAGAGCATAGCAGAATTCGAGCTCGTAGCTTGTATTATCGAGACATCTTCACTACATGAAGATGTAAGTCTCTCAATCGTGCTCCTCCTCAGTCACTCCTGGACATCCTTCCATTTCGGCATCAGGGTATTCGTATCCACAGTATAGACAGTAATGGTACTCTTTGCGAAGAAATACCAGAAGCTTCTGTAACCGCTCTGCCACGGGCAAGGCCTCAAATTCTGCCAGCTCTGGATCTTCATCCTCGAGCTCGTTTTCAAGTGTGGTGTAGAAGGGCGCAAGATCTCGGCCTTGTGCTATCTTCGAATCGTCGTCATCGTCTTCCGGGGCTAGCGTGGGTAATCGCGACGAAATGCTATTATTCAGTTCTCGTCGTTGCTGCTTGTCGCGGTTCTTCTCGACCCTGCGCCTCGCACGAACACGCCAAAGGACGTTGATGTCCTTCAGTGGTTTCTCGCTCGTGTCTGGCGCGCCTTTTTCTTCGGCCTTCTTGTCAGACAAGCGCTCAGCTGTCCTCTGTGCGCTGTCCAAATCCCGTTCGGCCTTCTTCTCTTTCTGTTCTTGGCGCATTATCTCTAGGTAATCACCCTCTTCTTCCTTTGCACGCTTTGCCAATCGATCTGCTTCCTCGAACTGTTCTCTGAACTTGCGCTTCTTTTCCGACTCAAGACCAATGCCTCCTCTGTCGTCTTTGGGGTTGACTCGTATAGGCTCCTTGCGCGCGTCTTCAGATTTGCCGAGAGCATCGCCCTGCTTGAATCCAAATTTGGCCATCATCTTGAATCCCTTGTTGGTCTCAGGCAGAGCAGTGGCGAGGGCAGCTTCTCGTGCAGCTTCGGCCTCTTCTTCTCGTTCGGCTTTGGTCTTCTGTCGCGCTTTGGCTTCGCCCTGTCCATGTGTCAGTCTGGCACAATTCCGCAATTCCACTCGACGCACCTCTTTGCGCTTGCGCGCGGCGCGCTGGAGAGAAGTCTCATACTTTGGTCCCTTTGGCGCATCCTCAAACACCATATTCATGTAATCATCCTCCTCGTCTGATTGCGCCATCTTGTGCTAGTGAGTTGTGAATGCTCTAAAAATTGTGTTGTCGACTCGGGCGCCTCAACTTGCAGGACCGCCCGCAGCGGCAGCGACCCACCTTCGTAGCGTTCCCTTGGCATATGTCAGGGCAGGCGATCCCCCAGAGTCTTCTTTCGACCACATCTCCTCGCCCAGCCTGCTAAATGCCATCGGCCCTCAATCAGCGCTATAGTGACGCATCGCGCTCGCTGAAGCGGGCGCATATTAGGCCTCCCAAACGACCTGTGTGCATATTAGGCCTTCCAAACGATCTGGTCTCCAACCGTAGACCCGGGAGGCTCGAACAACGACTTCCGCCACCTACGTTCCTTGGGGAAAAGGGCTGGGCCAGCCCTGAGTGCCACACAAACCAACTTGGACACGACATGAACCGCAGATGGCGGGTGTTTCGGATGCCAAGGCAACCCCTGCTCGATGTTGATTTAGACGACTTTCAGTGCGACGGAGCCATCCGCTTGTATGCTTTGTCCTAGTGTGTATATCAAGATGCAGAGATGCAGCCGCTTGCTGGGTGTTGGGGTTGACTCGGTTGCAACCCATGATTTCGGCTTTTCGCCTTCATGTGAATGAGGGGGTTGGTGATTCTCTTACCTGAGGCAATAAGCCTCTGCTCACCTGCTGATTTAGACGGCTTTAGATTATTTCCTCACTGCAACAAAGAGGCGCGTCTCCCGAATTCAGATCGACCACCGACAAGCATTGGCTTACATTGGTTGCCGCTTCAGGGGGTTTCTCCACCTCTAACCTCAAAAGGTGCAGGACCCGCGCTACCGTCTGGGGTCAACAACGATCCCTCGCACTGCTCGGGCTGTTCAATATGATCGCGTGTCACTCGAGTCAACGCCTTTTCGCCTCTGGTTGTAGTAGGACGAGCCAATCCAGATAGACGGACATTGCCGAGCAGCTTAGAGCTTCATGCAGACCTATCCACTCACGGCTCTTCGGCGCCCTAGGTTACAAAATGTGGCCGCATTCTTCAGAGATCCCTCACGCATGTGCCAGTTGATCCTTCAATTGCCTGCGCTGCCTCGGCTTCATAATGAGACCGGATAGGTGGTGAGTGCTTCGGAGCGTATCCGCAACAGGCTACTTTCTCGGGCAACCCGTCATCTTCATGAAAATCGCTAAGAGGCCTGTCACTGATCGTACCCTTTTCGACATTCGCCTTGCCATCGGTGCACAGCCAATTGGTATTTGGCGTAAGAGGGGTCTCGGTCGTTTTCGCGCATGTGCCAGTCTCCTACACATTCCCCAGCTTTTGACATCCACAAGGTGTGCGTTCCCCGCGTACCTCCGCGTTCATACCGTCCTTGGAAGTCTTGGTGTATTTTCTTATTTCTACTTAATTCGCGTGCGACACCCTGCGGGTCTGTCCCCTGAAGAACCCACAGTCGCTCTGAATCGCCATCAACCGGTGGGCGACAGAGTGATCGAACTGTACACAACAACCTCTCTACACTTCACCCAAGACCGTCAGTATGGAGAGCAAAGACGGCGGAGCGACACGGGCGGACGATGTGTATACAACGCCCCAGAAGAAAGGCGGCGTTATGAATAAGCTCTATCCGCCAGGACCCACGCCAGGCGCTAAAGGGCGTATGAAGAACCACTGCAGAAAGTTTTGGTGGTGTGGTAAGTCTCTGCCGACAGCCTCAACGTACTTCGTGTTTACATTACGTCAGATTGCCTGGTCCTGGTGATCATTGTGTTGGTCATCGTTCTGCCAATCATATTTGTTGGCATACCAAATAAGGCACAGCACGAGATCAACTCCTCTACACTCGAAGTTACTGCTCAGGAAGTTACCAACCCGCAGCAGAACGGTGTCCACCTGAAGATTGATACAGTCATCAGGAGTGGCAGCAGTTATCACCCTAAGATTGATAGCTTCAAAGCAGGACTATCGCTACCAGGACAAGACCCTTTCATCTACATCACCATACCTGAAGCGAAGTCTGAGGCAGAGACCCGCGTCACTGTCGACCAAGATGTCATTTTCGCGAGTGATGTCGAGTTCTCCAGTTATACCAAGGCTGTGCTTGACAGCGAGACACTCCAAATTCACCTTGACGGCAAGACCAACATTCACCTCTCTGGCCTGCCTACCATGGACGTCGATTACAACAAAGTCATTACGATGAAGGGTACGTCTCATTGAAGCTACAGTAAGGACTAGTCTAATCGTATTTGCAGGACTAAACAAGCTCTCTGGACTCAACATCAGCGACGTGCGCATTCTCTCTGGCACAGACGAGATCCTTTCCGATGGCTCCAACCTCATAGCCAACGTCAGCATTCCCAACCCCTCTGTCATGACCCTCGACCTAGGCAACATCACCATGAACCTAGCCGTCGACGGCACCGCGATTGGCTACGCACTCATTCCAGACCTTTACCTCAAGCCCGGCGACAACGTATTCCCTTTGCAAAGCCACGTCGACCAGCTCGCTATCTTGGGCCTGATTCAGAACAAGTACAATGATGCTGTGCTGCCGCTTGAGATTGTGGGTAACTCGAGTATCAAGGATGGTCAGCACTTGACCTACTACGAAGATGCGATCAAGAGCAATACGATCAACCTGAATCTCGATGTCGGACCGGCATTGGCTGATATTGGGATCAACATCACCAGCTTTGGAGGCTCATAGATTGCCTAGCACCGTCGCAGTTCCCTTTGCGTCCTTGTTTCCGAGGCCATTCATGAGAGGTTGGAGTGTTGATATGCGTCTGCTTTGATACCATCGCTTAGATGATTGTCTTTATGGAGGGTGTAGTGGTTAATGTATGATACCTTGTCGTTACAGTAATACATAATATTACTCAACACATGCGCATGTGCTTTCAACGTTTGCAGAATATGGTTTCATTCCACTCTTACCACTGAGTGATGCCCTTCATTCTTAACAGAGTCGAAATAGAGTTGAGCTAGATGGTCTATCAACTCGCGTCACTCTTGCACTGAGCTTGCCGGATCGGTCGAGAGTTTTCCCCTCAAAATGACGACGCTCACCCATCACTCCTTCATTCGCTGCTGTAGAACTTCGAATCTCTTCGCACGTCGCAAGGGATAAATTATGATACTACGCTCGTTCTCAGCTATTCCATGCACAACACCATCTTTGACCTCAGAACGGAGTTTCGACATCGCGAAGACATCGATTCCCTTGTCATCACTGGTCAAAAAGTGCTGTTTGAACGTTGTTTTTTTGTAACCTCAGAACACTGGTCGATACCACGAAGACATCGACCTCTTGTCATCACCGGTAGGCGCCGCTATCCTGTTTTTCTTTTCTTTGACCTCAGAACACTTGTCGATGCCACGAAGGCATCGATCTCTGATCATCACTGGTCTACGTTGTCGTTTGACTTTCCTCTCGATCGTCGATCGAGGTGATGCGCTGACACACCCTCGGTGTTTTCGACTTCGAGGTGCAGAGCAGCAAGAAGGCGGGAGGGGGCAAGTCTTTTATACTTGGCAGGTGCGGTAGATGATTTGGTAGCGAGCGCAGTTTTCTTCCTTGGTAGCGAATGATACAACTGTCCATCACCATCTCCCATCTCCCTCATGATTACCTGTGCTTCTCATCATTGCATCCACATGACCTCTTATAACCTCCCATATCCACCATACAGCGGCGAACCATCCCCTCACTTCTGACCCCACATCCATGAATCTTCTCAGCCCTCGATCTCCCATTCGTCGGCAAAGAACTCCACAATGTTCACTGCGGCCTGCGAACCCACCGCACCTTCCAGTTTCTCCATACTCCCCGGCACACCAGAAGCCGCGCCCAAGGCTAGAACCACAAGTTCCTTTAGACTACCCACAACGTCGCTTAGAGCAATGACCTGCGCTTGGCTCAGAGGCGGCTCGGTTGTACAGTAAGGAATTAGGTCGTTGACTGCATTGCCAAGGGTGCGGGATGGTTGACGAGGCGGCGGTGGGGGGACGGAAAGCGCGTTCTGAGCTTGGCGAGGGAATTGGGGGTGGTGACGTTGCTGAGAGTGGATGGTCCTGTCGTTGAACGATTGCGAATAGTGGTCTGCTCCACCGTCCAGTTGAGAAGGGGCGACAACGTTCATGGGGCGCCTCTCTCCACCTGGGATGATGGATTGTGCCTTCTCATCGGGACAAGGCGCAGTATCGCTGGTGTGGTACAGAAGACCCATACCGAGAGTAAGCAGATATGAATCTCCGAGGCAATTGGGGATGACCTGGTGTCAGAACGATTGAGTGCGTGTCTCTGGAATATCGAGGGAGTGTATTCTTTGTATGTGACCCTAGTCAGTGCCTGTGAGGTAAGCTTCTTCTTGTAGAAGGTGCGTGGGTCGCGACAGAAAGAGCGACCAACCGATGTAGACAGAACGTCAGATCAGGATATGAAGCTAACAATAGAAGATTTTGGGATCGCGACACTATAGAGAATGGAAAACTTCATGCTTCTATCATTGTGTTGGGTATATGAGAGGAGTGTATCCGAATAGTGCTTTCGACATAGTACAACCATGAGTCGAGTCTACAGAATGTATGCCCGTACGATGTACATATCTATGCTTCCCGAGTGTACATTCCTAGGTCCTTATGTTGCGAGGGCTTATCGGCTGGCGACTGCTCGCGCGCTGCAGAAGTCGCATTCGTCGCTTGGGCAGCATTGGGATGAGCCTCGACAGATACTGGCTTCGCTTCGGCGCTCACGGCTTCAGGCTTTTTGTCTTCCTTCTTTCCACTGCCCGTGAAGAACCCTAGTATCTTTGAGGAAGCAGGCTCCGGGTGCTTCGCCTTGAACTCCTCAAATTCCGCCTTGACTGCCTTGAGCTCAGCCTGCACCTCCTCCAAATCTTCTCTTATGTCGTCTCTGGCATTGCGTGCCTTCCTTCTTTGTCGCCATTGCTCAACGAGAATTACAGCGATTCCAACAGCAAATATGAACGTCTCGGCAGCGAAGTTGGCGCCCATCTCGATGGCTTTTTGTTCGGATAGAGGTCGGATACGGGGCTTGATTCTCTCTTCAGTCTTCTTCTTGATAGCTTCTCGTTCCTTCTCCGTGAGCGCCTCCTCCGCCTTCATCTCCTCTTCAGTAAGAACCGTTGGGGCGGCTGCTTTTTTCCGCGCAGCCTCTGCTAATTGGACTTCCTTCTTAATCTGTCTGTCGATAACAGCCGGGTCCTGGAGGAGGCCGAGGCGCATGCGCATATCGACGCGATGCAAACCTTGGGCAAATTTGACGCATATCCGGCGAAAGCGGTCGTGTTCGTGGGCATTGCGTTTGATGGCATTCTGGAATGTGTCAATTATGACTGAAGATCCCCGGGGCTGACCAACATACTGCTACAGGCTTCGCAAGCGTTCTGACGAACAGTGATGTGACCTTGAGCGTGAGAGACATGTTTGGTTACGAGAGCGTTTCGGATGGTCGCGGGGAGATATGGAGACAATTGACCGGCGGACGGGTGCACATCGCAAGCTTCATACAGATAGACGCATCGGAACAGCTGTATAGCAAAGTGGTGTAGGATTATTCGTGGTGGTGCGCATGGCTGCAGGCTCGATGTTCAAATCGATGCTGCCTTGCGCTGCCGGAGATCCACCGACAGCGATGGCGATTGACTGCGGGCCCAGCAGCTCCATGACAACGCGGGAGACGTGACGAGACGCATGGCCAGCGCACACGACTAAGTCGAACTCGTACTGGATCGTGAGGCACGATCTCCAGTGCAAGCTTGTGCAAGCCGCTGTGCATCGAGCGGACTGTGCCGGGCACCGATTGGCCGACAGCCCTAGCAACGACGCTAACGGGCCCTTGTTTACATGCCATCAACACTCTGCGACTTCGTCCCCGATTTCATCATCTCTCTCCATTTACCTCCACGCCAATGTCTGCCTCGTCGATACACGCAGATGCCCCGCCGGCCGTGGTTCAGGACCCCGAGGGACTCCAATATGAAACGGGATCGCAGCTGGGCAAAGGCGGCTTCGCGATCTGCCATCGCGCAAAGCTGCTGGGCCACGAACACCTCGGCAGCTCAACCGTCGCTTTGAAGATTGTCAAATCCAAAATGGAGCCCCCCAAACTGGCGCAAAAGGTACTGGAAGCTTGGGAGGAAGGCATGGCTATTTGCTGACGCGCCGCAGTTTGTCACTGAACTACAGATCCACTCGAAGCTATCTCATCCCAACATCGTCGAGTTCTTCCGCGCCTTTTCTTTCGAATCAAGCACCTACGTTGTCCTGGAGCTATGCGAAAACGGTTCTCTTGCCGATGCGATCAAGAAGCGCAAATACTTCACCATGCCCGAGATCCGGCGGTTCATGATCCAGACGTGCGGCGCAATCAAATACCTCCACCAACGGAACATCGTACACCGCGATCTCAAGACAGGCAACCTCTTCCTCGACCGCGATATGAATGTCAAGGTCGGCGACTTCGGTCTTGCTGCATTACTGGTGTCACAGAGCGACTATGGGGCGATCCGTCGAACAACCATGTGTGGTACACCAAACTACCTTGCACCAGAGGTCTTGGAGAAGACAGGAAAGGGTCACGACGAGAAGGTCGACCTGTGGGCTATCGGAATCATGATGTACACACTCGCGGTCGGAAGGGCACCATTCCATGCCGCCAAGCGCGAAGACATCTACCGGAAGCTGAAGGCTCGCGAATACACCTGGCCCGACCTCGCCAAGTTTGCCAACGAGATCACCGACGACCTCCGCGACATCGTCTCGCTACTGTTGGTGCACGAAGACGAGCGACCGACCCCCGACCAGATCGTTGCGCACCCTTTCTTCAAATTGGGCTATATCCCATTGGAGCTGAGCAGCGAATGTACCTCGCGGGTGCCGAAATGGCCGAAGAACCGTCCACCAACAGCATCCACGATGAGGCGTGGATACACTGAGGAGTGGTGGGCGCTTTGCAAGTCCTCATCGGTCGGCGAATACGAACAAGGAAAGGCATTTGGAACTTTCGGTCGCAGAACCAACAAGACAGTAGCAAGAGACTGTCAAAAGGAGATTGAAGCCGGCAAGCAACCAAACATCCCGTTCTCTAAAGATGTCGTCTACGTACCTTTCCCTGCCCGCACGCAGTGGCCTCATCAAGCCCCGGGAGGGCTCAGCGAAATATCGGAAGAGAAGGAATCGTCATCTGAAAGCCAAGCCCTATCAGAAACTACCGGGAACGAGCGGACAAAGACTCGTGCATCCAGAGCCCCAAGGAGGGAACCACAGCCGATGCAGACATTGAAGGAGAACGTAGAGCCAGCCGAAGAGCCAGAACCCGCGCACAGGATACTTGACAAACAGCCGACGCGGTTACGAGCAGCCCGCAAGATCTCGAACACTGGGCGTGTTACTGCGAGCACGGCTTCCGCACCTGCGCCACTACGCGTCCCTCGTGAGGCACGAACTTCGACGCGCGCACGAATAGCGAAGGAAACCGCAAAGGAAGCGCCAAAGACAACATCGAACGGACTCCCTGACCTCCCACCTCTAAGAGTCTCTCGGACCAGCGCTCGAGAGAGCGCGAAATCGGAACCTGCGCCGCAACCAACTTCAGCGCGAAGTGCTCCCCGCTATCGGACCGTCAGCAATGACATGCCTGCGACTGATCCAGTGACCGTGTTGGCGCGCTTGATGACATTCCGCGATAACCTTGAACGAGCCCTCGACAAGAAGCCTACAAAGTCGAGAAGAGATCAGTCACCGCAATTACCGTTTGTTGCAAAATGGGTAGATTACAGCCGCAGATACGGAGTGGGATACGTCCTCAACGATGGTAGTATCGGGACCCTCCTCTCTGCAGAGGATCAATACCCCGTTACGATCGCGTTTGCCACGGACGGATACAACCACCTACGGAAGGCTGGAGGCAACCGAGAGCTTGCCAAAAGCGTTGCGCTCAACTACTATACGACCGTGAAGAAGGACCGGGGACTGTCGGAGATTGAAGTGCTCGAGTCGCGACGCATTGAGGAGATCCGGACAGTGTGGCACAAGTTTGGGAAATACATGTGCGCAACCTTTGGCGACGAAGAAAAGCCGCTCAGAAAAGATCCCCGCGTGAATTTTGTTCGCTTCTACCAACGCCTTGGTAACGTCGGGATCTGGGGTTTTGACGACGGCTCCTTCCAAGTAAGCGCTTTTGCCATTTTTCACAAAGCCCGTCTAACAGTTCGTTTAGTTCAACTTCCCCGACCACACCAAACTCGTCTTGTCGTCAGATGCAAGCTACGGGCACTTTTTATGCCTTCCTCTGGATGCGACGTCTCTTCTCGAAGAGACAGGAAACGTGCCGTGGAAGCACGTCAAGGCCAGAGCACATCTTCGCGGTTCATTGCAACAGCTTCTCTACGGCTCAGCCGACAAGGAAGACAGTTACAAAGAGCTCACAGAGGGCAACCTCCTCCGCGCGAAGATCGAATTCATCTATGCTGTCGTGTCGGAATGGTGTCAAGAAGGCGGTCTGGGCTGCCTCGTAGACCCCAAGGTATATTCCTGGGGCGGTCCGCAACTAGAAGAGTCCAAGCGGCTGGACTGGGCGAGCGTTGGGCGTTTTGGCGGTGATGTTTTCTCATGATGATTGAATGACGACCTTGGAGCGATGGCGTTTTTGGGATCTGGGATATTTCTATTAGGGTTTTGGGCATTTCCACGGCGTCGTCTCTGCTACTGAGCAGTGCCGTTGTTCGAACACTCATTCACGACGGTTTGCATTTTGCTGGCGTTTTCTCCTAGCGATTAGTTTGAATGAGCATCCGGTCACGACCCTCAAGACGTTGGTGCCTAATGCCTAAGTTTGTGACACGTCACGAGAAATTATGCGTACGCGGCACACCCGGGTCGTCCTTGTGTGAGGCGTTTGCTGCGACACTTTGATGCGGAAACTGGGCCGAGCCTGGATGGGTTCGCAGCGGCGACGGTGAATGATGCAGTAGTATGACAGCAGATGTTCTAGCAAGTGACATGGCTACAATGCATGTCAGTCTGATGTGTGTAGCCCGATAGGAAATGGGGGTGAATGGAGATGACGAGGAAATTCCAGCCGCGGCGGCAGCTTGCGCGTACGTCGTACTTGAATAGCTGTGGCTGTGCTGGACGATGGGGCGAGTACCCTCCGAAGCGCCCGATTCCACCCAGGGCTCTGACGTTGGCCGGTCTCTACAACCGCCGCATTGCAGCCATCTTTACACGCCCACACCCCCGAGCGACTGCTCCCCCCATACTGGCTCTACCTGGCTTTGCCGTCCATTATTACCATATCCGCTGCTCCCTGAAATCCGCAGCACACGTCCTACCCCACTGGCCGGCTCAAGCTACAGGTCCCAGCTCGACGTCGGGCACCAATCATGGTAGGATGCAGAGAGACTTCGGGGGAGGAATACAGGCTGATACAGGTGATGTGTAGGGGAAAACCAACCGCGCCGCGCGCAAGGCCGGAGGCGGCGCTCAGCCCAAGGCCCAGTTCGCTACCAAGGCCGTCTTCGAGACCACCAAGAAGAAGGAAGTCGGTGTATCGGATCTCACCTTGATCAGCAAGGTCTCGAATGAGGCCATCAACGAGAACCTGAAGAAGCGATTCGAAAATGGCGAGATATACGTGCGTCGACCCGCTTGCGCCAGCCCCGCGTCGCACACCCACGCAGCGATAGACTAGGACAGCGACTGACTATAGGCGCAGACATACATCGGCCACGTGCTGGTCTCGGTCAACCCGTTCCGCGACTGTAGGTGACAGGACATGCGCCTCAGAGGGGGATGCTGACAAGTGGCAGTGGGCATCTACACCGACCAAGTGCTGGAGAGTTACAAGGGCAAGAACAGGCTGGAGGTGCGGTGCATAGCTGTCCACCAACTTCCAGGGCTAATGAGGCATAGGTACCCCCTCACGTCTTCGCAATCGCCGAGTCCGCCTACTACAACATGAACGCATACAAGGAGAACCAATGTGTCATCATCTCCGGCGAATCAGGAGCGGGAAAGACAGAAGCTGCGAAGCGACTTATGCAGTACATCGCCAATGTCTCGGGAGGTAGTAATTCATCTATCCAGGAGATCAAGGACATGGTGCTGGCCACCAACCCGCTGCTCGAATCCTTCGGAAACGCGAAGACGCTGAGGAACAACAATTCGTCGCGGTTCGGAAAGTATCTCGAGATCCACTTCAACGCGCAAGGAGAGCCAGTGGGAGCAAACATCAACAACTACCTGCTCGAGAAGACCCGAGTGACGGGTCAGATTGTGAACGAGCGCAACTTCCATATCTTCTACCAGTTCACAAAAGCCGCATCCTCACAATACAGAGGTACGCCCAGTTTGACTAGACATTAGACTCGCGCTGACATGCACAGAAATCTTCGGATTACAACAACCGCAAGCCTACCTCTA